CCCTGGACATTGCTCTCCTGTCTGGACCTCAGGCGTCCAAGATGGAGCTGCCTTCCCCCGAACCCACGCAGAGCCCCGGCCCCAGCCCGGGCAGTGCCCTGGGGCCCGCTGCGCCGCCCGCCCTTCCCAGCGATGGGAGGAAGGGAGATGCTGCTGGTCAGAGGGAGTCCTCCCCTGCTGTCTTCAAGGTGAACAAGTCCTACCTGCTCGAGCCTCGGTTCCTGCCACCCAGCCGGGGACTCCAGAATTCACCATCGGCTCCCCAGCCTGACCCAGCGCTGAAGCAGGACAGGAACGTTTCCCAGGCCACCAGGAGCCCCGCAACAGACACGGAAAATGATCCCCAGCGGAGAGAGGGTGGGCCCAGCAAACGCCAAGATCCCAGCTCCAACACGAAATGCCTGCCCGCGCTGGGGCAGACCCTGCGTGGTGCCGACCCATCCAGGGCACCGGGCCCGCCCCCACCCGAAGGTGTCCCCTCACGGGAGAAGCCGAGTGGGAGGGAACCGATGGAGAGGGGCCCTTCCACAGCCAGAACAGAGCCGCAGGCTGCAAGGGCCGCCGTCCGCAGAGAGCCCTCTGTGGAGCCCAGTCCTCCACCAGCTGCTAAAACCGGTGACAACAGAAATCTCCCGTCTGTGGGAGGAGCCCGCTCAGATGTCCACACGCAGACCCTGGCCACGGAGAAAGCCCGGGGGCCTTGCGGGAAACCAAACCACAGGGATGGCCGCGAGGAGCTGAGGCCGCTGGCCAGAGAGGACCCCTCTTCGCACCCCGGGGGTTCGCCTTTTCATACACCCTATTTCATCAACTCTAAGATACCTTACTTATAAAAGGCATCCTAGAAAAAACACAGCTAATTACGGGGGAACGGGGACGCCTTGTGAGCGGGAGCTGGGCAAGGGAAGGAGCGGCCCAGAACCCACATCGCAAGCCCCTCCTGCCAGGCCGTCTCTGCCGCCTCCAGAGGGTGGGAAGAGCGACAAGCTCCGCAGTTTCCCCTCTATGCAGAGAGACGATCCCCGGGAACCGGAGCGGAAAGAACAGCTTCAGCAGCGGCTCAGCAGCGGCTCTCAGCCCCTACCCGCCACCAAGGACCTGCCCAGCCCGGCTCGGCCGCCCGGCGGCGCACCCAGCCCCCCCTCAGGCAGAGAGCTGGGCAGCAAGCCCTGGGCTGCAGAGCCCAGCCTGGGCCTCCCGGA